GCTTGAGCCCAGGAGTTGGAGGTTGCTGTGAGCTGTGATGCCACGGCACTCTACCCAGGGGGATAGCTTGAGGCTCTGTCTCAAAAAAAAAATATATATATATACACCAGAAACTTCACTTTCATCCTTGAGAATAAAGGGGGTATCCCAAGGGAGTGAGAGGAACATCCACTTTCTACACTTCTGAACTGAAATTTGTAAACCATGAGCACACATTACATTTATAATTTTTAACTTTAATAAAAACATATGAAGTAAACTGTAGAGCCTTGCCTAGGCCCTAAATGAAATAAAGCAGCTAATGGATTCATGCTGTAGATAGTACTGTAGGTAGGCATGAGAATAAATCAAATTTTAAAGTCCTGGAATAATAAATAATACTGAAGAGTTACATGTAAATAACTCATTGTCTTTAAGATGATTCTGTGACTAAATCTAAGCACAATTTGTACAAATTGGAAGAGAGACAATCCTATTCATTAGCTATCTGCATAGCTGCTCAGTTGGTAAATAACCAGAATTTACTTTTGTAGTTCCATAAAAAATTCTTTTTCTCCTTTCCCTTACCTTGCTACATTAAAAAATTCTCTCAATTTGCACAGCACAGTTGTTTTGAATCAAAACCCAAAGAAACTCCCCTTAGTACATGATTTCAAGTAGATCAGAGATTTCTATCACAGATGCTGTAACATTTAATCTTCAAGAAAGAACAGCCCTCTATGTACCAGCACTTGGAGACTGAGTAGCTGGGACTCCAGGCACAGCTACGCAGTCTAGTCGGGGAGATGGACTAACCTAGCAAACTGTTATAACAGCATTGTCCTACGCTGGCTGCAAATTTTGCAAAGCAGACTCATATTCCACAACTCATATTGTTTTCTCCTATGTGGAATGTTATTGGTATCCAGAAATGCAAATTCCCTAAGAACACACCATCTTACTCTGTAATAAGCCAAAGAAAAATCATCTTGAGATAGATGTGTTAGGGTAAACAATCTTCATTTCCATAGCTCTGTTAGAACAGGGATCAATCACTTTAATCAGACGTATTTAAAATGTCTTTTGTGAGTAAAAACCATACATCTGGTTTAGAGCAGATGTAACATGGCAGTTGGGCACTGAGAACTAAGCTCCTTCAAAGGAGGGGATCTGGCTGGTGCGGTGGCTCATGCCTATAATCCCAGCACTGTGGGAGACCAAGGAGGGAGGATCCTTGGAGCTCAGGAGTTCAAGACCAGCCTGAGTTAAGAGTGAAACCCCACCTCTAAAAATAGCTGGGCGTTGTGGTGGGCACCAGTAGTCCCACCTACTCAGTAGACTGAGGCTAGAGGATCTCTTGAACCCAGGAGTCTGAAGTTGCTGTGAGCTAAGCTTATACCTCAGCACCCTAGTCTGGGGCAACAGAGTGAGACTCTTCTCAATAAAATAAAATAAGAAAATAAAACATAAAAATAAAGGAGAGGGGCAGTGCTCATAGCTCAGTGGGTAGGACGCCAGCCACATACACCGGGGCTGGCAGGTTCAAACACAGCTCTGGCAAATTAAAAAGCAACAATGACAACTGCAACAACAAAAAAATAGCTGGGCATTATGGTGGGTGCCTGTAGTCCCAGCTACTTGGGAGGCTGAAGCAAGAGAATCTCTTAAACCCAAGAGTTTGAGGTTGCTGTGAGCTGTGATGCCATGACACTTTACCCAGGGCAACAGCTTGAGACTCTGTCTCAAATAAATAAATAAGATAAAGGAGAAGGATCCTTTATTTCATTTTCACATCTTTAGCACATAGAAGGGTGCCTGCATAAAGAGGCCAAACCACACAAAACCACGGATAATCATTCATGACATATAATTAAAAATAGCAATTTCATATGGTTCAACCTCAGGGTTGAAGTACTACAGAAATGTTCGTTAAATAATGGGCTATATATAATGAATAGAGTTTTATGAGTCTTGGGGTTTAATGGACACATGGTCAGAAACCCTGTCTTAACTCTGGTTTCTGGACACGTTATTTCAAAAGTGCACTCTGTCTCACTCTACTCGTTCCTTTCCGGGCACAATGCCGGATTCCTTAACTTTGTCTTTTCTCCTGTTTTCCAGTAACATTCATCCAGAATCCTTCACGCTCCAGTGGTTCTACAACAACTCCTGTTTACTTCCTGTTCTCAACAACCCCACCTTCAGCGACACCACGAGCCAACACACGGTTATTCACTTCTCAGTATTTTTAGGGCTCCTGCTGGTTGGAATTCTTGAGGTCCTCTTTGGGCTCAGTCAGATAGTCATCGGTTTCCTTGGCTGTCTGTGTGGAGTCTCTAAACGAAACCGGGCTGTGTAGTTTAATTGGAATAAAATGGAAACATCAGTAGTTTAAATTATTTAAGAATTAAATTTCAAAAGCACGCTTTCAGAAGTTCAATAATGGAACATTATCTAGAAAGCTGTGATGAGTCCTTGTAGTCCAAAAAGTTGTTTTCAAAATCAACAAAGGTGAGGTGACTTAAAAAAAAATCAATCCTTCTCAGAGAACCCGTGCTCTACATACAGGACACTTCCATGCAGAACAGATCTCAGTGGTGGACCGTGGAGGCAGGTAGAAAGAAGCTTTCAGTTAGTTTGTATCTTCCCATTCAAATTCCATTTGAATTTTCTGCCTTTCTATTCTTGGGTGTGTGTGTGTGGAGATAAAGAACAAGCAGAGTGTGAGGAGGAGGGAGGATCAGAAGAGACAGCAGTCATCCTGGAGGTCCACCTGTGCACCTTGTCGTTTGTTATTTCTTTGTACTTAAAAAGAAGAAAAAAGAAATAGAGAACTTGAATGTAATTAAGTCTTTAGACCTAATTCCCAGTTTGCAGGAAACATTCAGATAAATCCCAATGGTGGTACAGTACATAAAAAATGGCACTGTTTTCAATTAAAAAATGTCACTTAAAAAAAAAAAAAGACTAGGCTTGTTAATCCCAGAAATTTGGGAGGCCAAGATAGAAGAATTGCTTGATCCCAGGAGTTCAAGATCCCTTCTCTATACAAAAATTTAAATAAAAGAAAAATCATTTAAAAAGAGAGAAAATTATTAGCTGGGCATGGTGTTGCAGACCTGTGGTGCCAGCTACTCAGGAAGATGGTGTGAGCCCAGTTTGAGGCTGATCTACCACACCACTGCACTACCCAGTCTGGGCGACCACCCCTGTCTCTTTAAAAAAAAAAAAAGAGGGAGGGGGATGGAGGGAACTGTCCTAGATTAAGAGAACAAAAACATGTTTCAACTAAATGCATTTTGTAAATTTTGTTAGGGATAATTGGGAAAAGTATGTAGAAGAATTGGGTTAGATAATATTACGAAATTTTGTTAATTTTGTTTAGCCTGATAAGGGTTTTATGATTATACAGGTTGAATATCCCTTATCTGAAATGATTGGGACCAGAACTGTTTAGAATTTAGGGTTTTGGAATATTTGCATATACTGAGTAAAATATTGAGCTATCTCGCATATAATGTGCTATCTTAGGTAGGGGACCCAAGTGTATACACAGAATCTGTGTGTTTCATATGTACCTTACGTAAATAGGAAGGAATTACATACAATATTTTTAATAACTTTGTGCATGAAACAAAGTTATCACTACATTTTGACTGTGACCCATCACATGAAGACAGATAAATTTTCCACTTGGGGTGTTATTGGAGTTCAAAGTTTCAAAATTTTGTGCTTGAATTTAGGAGTTTGAGACCAGCATGAACAACAGGAAGAACCCACCCCCGCCCCTCCCCTGTCTCTACTAAATAAAAACAAAAGAAAAGAAAGAAGGAAAAAAATTAGCCAGACGTTTTGGCAGCACCTGTAGTCCCAGCTACTCAGGAGGCTGAGGCAAGAGGATCACTTGAGCCCAAGAACTTGAGGTTGCTGTGAGCTGTGACGCCACAGTACTCTACTGAAGGTGACAAATTGAGACTGTCTAAAAAAACAAAAGAAAAGAAAGAAGGAAAAAAATTAGCCAGACGTTTTGGCCAGCACCTGTAGTCCCAGCTACTTGGGAGGCTGAGGCAAGAGAATCACTTAAGCCCAAGAGTTTGAGGTTGCTGTGAGCTGTGACACCATGGCACTCTACCCAGGGCGACAGCTTGAGGTCTGTCTCAAAAAAAAAAAACAAAAAAACTAGGTTTCTATATATGGCCATCATTAAAAGCCAGGATAGCAGAATAGTTTATTTGCCACATTAAAATGCTATAAAACAGACAAAACTGGCTCAGCACCTGTGGCTCAAGTGGCTAATGCGCCAGCCACATATACCTAAGGTGGCGGGTTCTAATCCAGCCCTGCCCCACCAAAACAACGACGGCTGCAACCAAAAAATAGCCAGGCATTGTGGCAGGTGCCTGTGGTCCCAGCTACTTGGGAGGCTGAGGCAGGAGACTCACTTGAGCCCAGGAATTGGAGGTTGCTGTGAGCTGTGACGCCACAGTACTCTACTGAGGGCAAGAGAGTAAGACTGTCTCAAAATTAAAAAAAAATTCAGATTTTGGAGCATTTTGGATTTTCAGATTAGGGATGCTCAGCATGTACAGAGAAATGTCTTTTTGTTGTTGTTTGAAATGTTTACTTATATGTCTAGCAGGAAAATGTCCTATTTTAAAAACAGAGCTAAAACAAGCAATAGGAAAATGTTTATTGTTATGTTTAGGTAATGGGTACATGGAAATTCATTATACTCGCCTAATTCTCTGTGTTTATCTTATTTATAATAATAAAAATACCTAGGAAAAAAATGTTTCAAAAGTTGGTTTCTGGGCTTGGCACCTGTGGCTCAAGTGGCTAAGGCGCCAGCCACATACACCTAAGGTGGCAGGTTCGAATGTAGCCCGGGCCCGCCAAAACAATGACGGCTTCAACCAAAAAACAGCTGGGCATTGTGGCGGGCACCTGTGGTCCCAGCTACTTGGGAAGCTGAGGCAGGAGACTCGCTTGAGCCCAGGAGTTGGAGGTTGCTGTGAGCTGTGATGCCACGGCACTCTACCCAGGGGGATGAGG